CCCCCCCCCCCCCTCCCCCCCCGCTCCCTCGGCGGCCTCGCATGAAACGAAGTCGTTGTCGCATGCGGATGTGTCCAACTCGTCGCCACCGAAGTGGAAGAGGGCCAGGGGCTGGAGACCATGGAGACCAAACAAGTGGGTGCGGCTTGCCCAGGACAGTTGGCGGCTTGCCCAGGGCAAGGGCCCTCAGATACAGATGCAGACAGGCCAGGGCCAGAAGGGCAAGCGGCAGGGGAAGCAGGGAAAGCAGGGCGACAGCAAGGGCGAGGCGGCTACATCCCGATCGCCCCTGCCACGGCTGCGTTCTCGAGATGCTCGTTGTCCTGATCACAGTGCCCTGTCGTTGTCGTGATCACCTGGCTCAGTCGTTGTCGTGATCACCTGGCTCTTCTGCCTGACTGCTTCGAGCGTCATAGGCTGGCTGAAGCCTACGAGTTTTTGCTTGCTTTAGCGGCGAACCGAATAGGTCAGCCATAACCCCGTCGCTTGCCGCTGGAGCTAAAGACAGAGTGCCGTGTAGTTTTTGGCATTACAAAAAAATCTCAGCAGCAGCTGTCGAGTACATGTCTGCGCATGGGCGTCCTACAGGTCCTTTGTTGCCCTGGTCTAGGACGAGACAATTCGTGGGTCTGGGCCTTGGGAAAGCCCGCTCCAACGTGGCATGTTTACTGCATGGACTTCCTTTTCCTGCTCGCTTGCCCATGTCGATCACTTAGACTTTATCGGAGGCTCTTTGCTCTACGCCCTGAATTACGTCAACTCCTGTCATGGACAATTCGCGTGGGGCTTGCTGCCAGTATTTCTGATTCTTCTTTAGTGCGGGTGTCAACATAGGACGGATCCAAAGTTGAGTGTCTCGTAATAATACTGCTGAAATCTTTAAAACTTTCTTCTCGCACAGAGCATAAGAGTCTGTCCTCGAATTTCTGCTTCACCACTCCCTTGCCACTCCGTCTCTGTCAGGTGGGCCTGTTGCTCTTGGTTTAGCTGCCAGCTTTGTCCATTGCTGATGCAATGTAGTAGTGCGTCTGTGGCAATGGTTCGAAGATGATGCATGGAGGAGGTGTAATGCGTGCGTGCAGAAAAATGTCAACACTGTGATATTGGCATCCCACAAAAGCACTCAACTGCAGATCCTTGGCCAGTAGGACTCCAGCCCTTTACCCCAGACTCGTGGAAAAGTTACCCCAGACTCCTGGAAAAGCTGATGAACCCACAACCTTGAAAACCCCTGAGGCGGCAACGGCGGGCAACACAAGCCTGGGCCCCGGCACTGGCTTTTGGAGAACGTGCTTCGTATTCGGGCCGATGTGCACTAAAGCTAATCGTGGTACATAGTAACGTATCAGATGCAGGAAGCATCAGGGATTTCATTTGTCTCAGACGAAGTGCACAGGTGGCTATGTATTGAATTATGTGACTTTCCACTGACGAGTCACGAAACCTACATGCGACAATATGTCGGCTTCAACTTTTTTTCTGCACGCTTTGCACTGTTGACCTTGCCGAATTAGGCTTTCTCTCTGGGACAGTCAGTCTCTCTGTCTCTCTCGCTCGCACACAGACATGTGCAAGCCAGTTGTGCACGACCGTCCACCTTGATTGTTTGTTGGATTTTTGTCGCAGGCTGCCAGAGCTACATGCCGCCTATGTCGAAGCTGCTGCAGGCTGCAGTGCAAGTGACTGCTCGGCCAAACTCTAGCAAGACAGATGTCCTGTAGACTGTCTGTGATGCGTGGCAATTTAATTAATTTGTTCTGGCTAGCTTAGCCAATCAAAGTTGTCTGAGCTATTCCATTGTCACATTGCTGCAACAGCTCGTTCTTGCAACACGGCGATAGATGTATGTCTCGTCTCAAGCAGCTTTGCAGCATCCCGCCATTCGGCACCTTGCCGCGATCCTCTTCTTAGCTCGTTGTCGCCAGCTATGAGTTGCTATTACTTGACCCTCGAGGCCTGGCACACTTGAAATGAGCCTGCCAGTAGCACCATGGAAGTGTAGGCAAGGTCGTACTTCGGGAATTTGTGCAGGCGGCCGCCATCATGAAGAAGAACCAGGACGGTCTCAGAATCCCGGAAGGCCCGTTGTATGCGTCCGAGCTTGAAGCACTCATGGCTGCTGGGGCTGCATCAACAGTTCATGCCCTAGGCAACCCAACATGAAGCAAAGCAGGCATGGTGCTAGGAATGGAATATGTGTCCTCCAAGGCAGCTCGGCGCATGAAAGGCAGGAGCCTGGGCTTCTCGCTGTCGGATGCAACGGCAAGCCCAGCCGTTATGGCCAAGTTCAAGAAAACCAAGGGCAATGCAGAGTTCCTTGTCGTGAAGATCCACCTGGCGCCCGATGCCGAGCAGAAGCATGGGGTCTTCGCTAACGGGCTTTTGGAGTTCGGGAATCCCATTCGGCTCCGACGAACATTGATATCCAAGGGCGAAAAGGTGATCACAGGGAAGAGCATCCACCTCGATCACGACGTGTTCCAGGAGATCGGACTTAGGAACGCAGAGGTGCAGGCGAAGAGCATCACGAACGTGGAGGCCGAGAACAAGGACGCTGTCGCTGTCGAAGAGGTCTGGGAGGTCCCGGGATCGGCAGGGGCAGGCATCACAGTGTGTGTTCTAGAGCGAAACAGCACCACCTGGCCGCCAGCAGACTGGACAGAGGCCCTCGACAACGCATTCGCCTACTGCAACAAGAACACGAAGCCAGAAGGAAGAGCAATGTTTCCCACCCTCCAAAGATTCGATGTCGCCGCCGGAACTCCAGAGGCGACTTTGGTCATGTTCACAACGCCTTTGCAGGCGTTATCCTACCGGTACTACAAGAACGGTGCAACCAGCGGCAAGCTCTGGGTCTTCACACTTCCCACGGAAGCCCTGGCATCGGGGAAGACTGGAACAGGTGCCGACCTAGGGCACGTGCAGAACGACTCGACCTTCTTGGGCGCCTACTGGACGCTGTCGGGACCAAAGGCGAAGGTCGGCTCCTTCCTGGCCCAGTGCCGCGCCGTTGTCGAGGACCATGAGCTGATCGTTGTCGGAAACGACTTCAGGACTAAGGAAGCCGTCATCAAGGAGGCAGAGAACGCGAGGCGGGCAACCTGTGACTGCATCTTTGAAATTTGATTATTGTTTGACATGTTTTACAGACTTTGTCTCAGTGACTCTTGTCCCGCCAGGAAGAAGCGTTGGAACGACGACATTGAGAAGGACATCGAATCTCTGAAAAAGTTGAAGCAGGAGTCCAGCTTGCCATGATGGACGTATCAAAGCGCCAAGTGTTCCTTGTCGGGCTAACACTTCTCGGGTAGCAATCCTTTGCTCGGGAGTTTTTTGTAAAAGCAGCATCCAGAGCTGGTCTAAAAAAAGCTGCATGCCGCGAGGGACACGTGCAGCAAATCGTTCTGCGAGTGTCTGCTTGGCCCATGTGAAGTGCAGTGCTGCTGGCCACTGCCAGGCCGAATTCCTTTGTCGGCAGACTATGGCCGAAGGGGACACCGTCGGGACCCCAAAGTGACAACTTTCAGTCTCTTGCTGTGAGAATACCACATGTGATTGCGTTCACTTTGAATTGGCCCACAGTGAATGTTCAGTCAGGAGCGGCAAAAGTTCTGACTTCCTAAGTGTCATGCTCCAGAGTAACACTTGGTTGCTTTAACACCAGCTAACTAATTACAAGCTAGAGAAGAACATACAAAGCTAGGAATGGCCAGCATTCATCTACTCCGTTGTAGGTAGTAGTGGCATCCCTCCCAGAAGCCGCATCGCATCGAACAACATGGCGAATGAGAATGAGAATCAGAATGATGCGGCCCCTGTGTGTCCGGCGGACAAGCAAGCACGGGGCTAAGCGGTTGTTCTACCCGTGTCAGGGCGTCGGGAGGTGCATGCCGGAAGCACCACAAATGCTGAGACGTCTGCTGCGAAGTTCATGGTGGATGTCGTCCCATGGGAAGGGGCCTCAGCTGTTTCGCAATTTGGGTCAAACGCAAGCTTCCAATAGAACGCATTATCGTGCTGTTGATGCAAACCGGTCCTGCAGGTTCGCAAGCAGCTGCCCAAGAAGCTGACAGCGGCGAAGCTGATGCACAAGACCCAGCCCCTCCAAATCAACAAGGATGCCAAGGAGAAAGAGATCACGACGTACAAGGCGGGAAACTATGGAACACTGTGGCTGCATGTCTAAGTTGCAAATGCAGCCAAACTGAGATGTGCAGCACTGCATGGCAGTCCCAAATTAAGATGCGTGTCGTGCTTTGCCTTGCCGTCTCCAGGCTCCTTGGGAGGCGGAAAGCGCAGCCGCCAGCTTTGCCACGACCGGGATGTACGAAGCCTCGGGATTGGCATTGTGGCTACGCACAGCCTTGTTCGATGTCGGTGGTGGCACTGCACACCATGGACACATCGAGCAGAGGGACCCCGGAGACATTCCGGTGGCGACGCTCTACCGCTTCATGGAGAGCTTCTTCTCGCGAACCGCCGTGCTGAAGTCGAACGTGACCAGAGGTGCAAAGAAGATCAAGGATAGGGAGAGGCTCACGTGGCCAAGCAGCGTCATGGTTGTCGGTGTCGAGGATGGCAAGAAGCAGTGCGACCCTCCTTTCGAGGCGTCCTTGACACTTGCCGGCGGCCACTTTGTGCTGTGGAGCTGGTTCCTTGCCCTCTACGAGGCTCTGAAGAAGAATGTGCAAGCCTCAGTGTTTGCAGGGATTACTTGGTAGTGCTGTTCATCCGCTAATTCGCAATGTAGAAACGACGAGGTCTTAAACTTGCTTGGATGCTACAATGCTGAGCAACAGCGAGCACACATCTAGTTAGTGTAGTTCCTCATGTTTTTATTCTTGTGCCTTTGTGTGTTTCCTTGGCTTGTGTCTGACTGTCAAAGTATTCTGCTGCCGGCTTCATGAATGACGTATTTCTCAAAGCATACATCACAAGCTCCAGACCTCACACCCTTTGCCCGAAGTTTCTTTCATGTTCAAAGCCAGGACCAGCACTGGCTGACGCTTCTCTGGGAAGCAGGATGCACCGTGACCATCCAGGCACGGGTCTGCGACAGCGCGGAGAGCTGGGCCATCAGTCGGCACCAGGCATCCGAAGCGTTGAAAGCTTCGGCGGACAGTTCGTTGTCGGACACCTTCCTGGACTTCACCTTGCTCATCAAGCAGTTGAAGGTCGAGCAGGTCGGTGACGGCAAGAGACACAACCTGAAGTTCAACGGCAGCGAGTACAATGCCGCAATGCACGGCGCCGCCCAAGCCTTGCAGGGACTCATGGGGCCCGGTTGTCGTTTCCCGGCCGCCATTCGCAACTTGGAGATGGCGTATGGCAGAGACGTTCTGAGCAACTCCTATGCCAAACTGCGTCGCCTTGCTTCGCTTTGCAAGGGCTGCGATCCGACCGCGACTTGGCTGGTGGAGAGCTTCCACCTTGCACTGAACCTCAAGCTGACGACCACCGCAAAGGCGACGGAGGCCTGGTTGGACAGAGACCGCCGACACAACACAGCTGGCTACTGGCCGTGCCAGTTGGTGGTGAGGGAGGCCGGATGTCGCAAATTACTGCTTTGAAGTAATTTAATTAAAGAGTCTGCAATCTCCAAGCAGTGGCACTGCCAGCACAGTGCAATCTCCGACACCTGACCCCTGCCAGCTCTTCGACAGCTGCAAAGGGCTCCTGGGAAAGCTGCCGGAGACCGACGCACAAGCTGCAGTGAACGAGATGGCGGAACTCCTGGATCCTATGACAGTCTGGAAGAAGTACTTGCTGCCAAGCAAGGAGGCCGAAGGCAGCAACATGGTCGCTGAGGAGGATGACGAGGAGGTTCCGGCAGAACTCGAGCAGGCTACAGCGCTGCAGGCTTTGAAGGCAAAATACAACCGTGCAACAGGTTGTGTCTTCGAGTTCCTTCTGGACCTTGCTCGTGGCAAGTACTTCGCAGATTTGAAGGACCTGGCCAAGCTGAGCTCCGATGGGACATCGGTTGGCAAGCATGTCCAGGACGCTGTCGCAGCCAGCAGCAAAGAAAAAGAAGGTCTTTCTCACATGCTGAAGACCCTGACCGTCGTCATCCAGAGCTTTGATGTGACTGCAAAGTCGGTGTCGTTGTCGGCACATCTTGCAGCCCCAGCTCCTAGCTTCATGTCGTCGCTTGGTTCCGGCGGAGCACAGGATGAAGCTGCCAACATGGAAAGGGAGCGAGTGTGGCGGCAGGTGCAGGCCGAGAGAAAGAAGATCGTCGGATTCGGCTTTGCAAAGTCCTTTCCCAGCACGACAGAGCAGTTTCAGGAAGCCTTCAGAGGCTCAGGCAAGGTGTTCGCCTTCAACGGCAGTCTCAATGCTGCCCACCGGCTCGTTGTCGCAAGCGCAGACTTGATGGCTGAGTCTGAGGCCGAACCTTGGCTAAACCCAAGCATGGTCGACAAAGAACTGTGGAAAAACGTCTGCGACTTCGTCGCCACCAGTGCTTCGGGAGCCTGCGACTTCGGCGTCACACTGGACGGGCGCCTACGTGAGGCTCGTCGAATCATGGTGCCGTGGCCGCACAGCAAGTTCATGTATGTTTGCAGTCGGTGCATCCTGCAGTTTCATGATAATTAACAGTTTCATTGGTCATGTTGCATGCATACTTTGCCAGGAAGATGTCTTCTTCTCGTTGTCGCAGACAGAGCAAGCATGGATCATCTATGAGGGTGGCTGCCCTGCACGTGCCGGCCGGAGCCGTCGGGTCTTCATGGGCTCTCGCAAGGTGGAGACTATGTGTGTGCGAATGCCGACGGCACGCACCCGCATCAAGGTGCAACAGCGGGAGAGTTTCTGCACCACCGGCGAAAGCACCACTTTCCAGACCACGTGGTCGGGTGTGAAGTTCCGGCAAAGCGCTGAGTTGCCCTTGATCACGAAGGTGGCAAAGCAGTGTGTGCTCGATGTCGCTGTCGTGCCGGAGCCCCCGGAGGACTGGACCGACAAGCATGGGCCAGACATGCCGATCTACTGGCAGGAAAGCAAGTCGATTGCTTTCTGGACCAGCTTCATCGACGAGATGAAGGTCCACGCGATCATGGACCTGAGTCCGGGGAGCGGTGCCCTGCTCGAAGCAGCCCTGAGCCGTGGAATCTTATACTATGGCCTATGCAGGAATCGCAGCCATATGAACTGGTTGCAGGGCATTGCTGACAGAGCCACCTGCGGCTTGATTGCCACGGAAGGCAGCAGTTTCTTGGTAGCTCAGTGAGCACACTTTACATTTTTTCAGGGAATCCCTCTTTTGAAATGGAACTGAATAGTGTACACTTTTGGGGCTTTCTGAAGTCAGCAGCCAAGGTTTGCACAGCTCCGACTTGGCCTCAGACATCAAGAAGCACTTCCCGGACGTGCTCCTGGAGATGAATCCGGCGGACGATGTCGAGGAAGATCCCTGGGAGCCGGAGCTCGAGGCGTGAGCTTTGGATGTCGCTTTCGCTCTCGATGCCTGAAGGCATAGTTCCTTCGAGTTTTGAAACCTGCGATGACCTGGGTCAGTTCAGATCCCGGCCATCACTCGGATGAGGAGAGTCGTTGTCCTGATGGCACATCGTTGTCGTTGTTGTTGTCGTGGTGTGCCGATGTCAGGCTGGCACTAAACTTGCTAGAAAGCCCAGATGTACCCTAGCTGGTAACGGCTGCAATATCTGTAATTTAGGCTGGCCTGGCCACTTGATCTCGGCAGTTTTGCACCATGACCAACGATGTCATCTGTTTGTCCAGGTCCGTCAAGAACCTGTTTAGAGTAACAGCAGTAGAAGCCAAAAAGTTGGAAGCCCGAAAGCCTCAATCGTAGTGAGACCGCGTATTCAGCGACCTTGTTTGGCAGAGTTCCGAGTGCGAGAGCAAGAGTAAATGATGGTGGCTCCCAGCGTTTCCAACTTTGGCGTTTACTGTAAGGCTGTTGCAGCCAGTCGTTGTCGAACTTAGTCAGTGCCTTGGCAAACTGAGAGTGGTTACTGCTGCTGCAGAATGAGTGAAAATGGTTTTGCCGCCAGCTCTCACTGCAGTTCCCCCTCATGCAATGACAATGGAGTCCACAGGAAGTCAACAGCAGTTTGCTGTGATGCTTGTCACTGTGAGCTTCCACATAAAACACATCCTTTGACCGTGACCTTGCCCAGGTCACATCGATGCCCGGAACAAGAGCATGACGACGACAGGCCTCGGAGGCCTGGTGGCTCACGTTTGTCGTATTCTGTGTAGATAACCAGCATTCCTTCGTGTGATCCTGCAGCTGTGAGACTAACTTCTGTGAGTAGCGGACTGAGTGAGTGTTCGAGTGTCCATGTCTTCTTTGTTGGATTTCAGATCCTATGTATATACTTAATTATATAACTATATATATATATAGATATATAAAGATATATATATATATACACACGCATGAAGCTTCTGACACTGTGTGAGAGCAGTATGTTTAGGTTTCTATCAGGTTTTCTTGACCTGCCTGTCACGAGCGTTCCTCTCTTCGCAGCAATTTTGGCCCGTGGCTGTCGTGCTTTGTAGTAGAAGGTGTGATCAAAGCCATGATGGGGTGGAGCGAATCCCCGTTGACTGGGAAAGGAAGATGCACCTTCTGGGTCAGGTGTCAAAGCTGCGCAGGGAGCTCGTTGCGGCACGGCCTCGTGTAGAGATCGTTGTCGCTTTCGTGCACGCCCTTGATCGGCGCGAGAGAGAACGGCTCCACCTGGCGGCGCACCGCAACCCGCTTTGGCCACAGCTTGGGAACTCTGTTTCGAGAGGTTTGCTCAGCCTTCTGGCACCGATGTTTGTCGAAGAAAACGACATGCGGAGCGACACGCGAAGAACCGCATCTGGTGTGCTGGAAGCAGTGGTTTCCTGGTTGTCGGAAAAAGGACCCGATGACCCTTACCACTACGAGGTCCTCCTGCACTTATGCAAGATCGCGGGCATGATGCAGGACCTCTCGAACGAGACCTACATGTTCATAAAATACACCAGGGACCTCACCTACGACAAGCTTGAGGCTTACGTCCAGCAGATTGACATGGTTGGTCAAAGCATGCGGGAAGTGTGAGCACCAGAGAAGGGTAGCTCGCACGTGCATCAAGCACCTGAATCGCACGAGTGCTCGCGAGGCTTTTTCCTTGTACAGAACTGGCCAGAGATGGCCAAGGAACTGTTGTCGCTTTCGCAGTTCTCGCTGTCGCAATATCGGCACAACGTCAGCTGCGGACTGTAAAGTTATGGAGTCGGTTGGGGGCAGCTACACAGGGGAATGTATAAGGAGTTAAAAGATTCAGATGCATGCTTGGTAGTAAAAGTTCTGCAAGAGACTCTTTGTACCTTTCTTTCTTCATTCCCAAAAGGTTTACAACTTCAACAGGCAACCATGGTCGTTCAGGATTTCTTATAACTTCCGACGTACGGAAATGCAGCGCTAGTTTAGTCAAGGGCTCATATAAACCCATTGTATAACCCTCTGCAATCCCCCTTACTTATTCTTATACCTACAATTCTGGGATCCTTTTATTTTCGGGCTCCGGGTATATCCTTGACCGACGATATAGCTGCAGTCAACAGCTGAGCCGACGGAATGGCCGCTGAGCCAACGGAATAGCCTTACATTCCAGAGCTGAATGGACAGGGCTGAGACTCTTTTCGGCACAGGTGGCACGGAAGGAAAAATGCTATTTGCTCTTGCGGCGTGCATGCTCCCAGAAATTTGTCAGCCAAGCACCCCGATGAGTGCCGACGTCAGGCTTTGATGCAGTGGCCTCAAAGACGTGCCTGACCTCCAGCCTGGAATCTGAGGCCGGGGTTCCTCGCTCGGAGTTGAAAGACTACATAACCATACATGACCCCCGTTCCTCCATATCCTCACTAATTCAAGATGAGGGACGGCTTTGCTGTTGGCGTGCTGCGGTTATGCTTTCTTGTTTCCACTGGGCCTTGTACATTTGATTTTGGGAATCAATACCTGAAGTGAATCTAGTTGTTGGTTTCTTGCAGTCAGTCATGGCAATGCAAACCCGAATGGGCACAGAAACAATAATGATGAGCGATCGTTGTCGAAGAGAGTTACATTGTCAGATGCAGTGTCAGGTTTGCGGTTGTCCTACTGTCGCCGAGTCGACTTGCCGCTGTGCAAATTTCTTCGGTTGTCCTAGTACCAGGTCGGCCTGCTGCTTTGCAACCTTCCGAGGTCTTCACTCGCTGTCGCAAAGGGTTAAAGTGTTAGGGACAGTTTCGGGGCTTCTGGTTGTCCTCGTTTTGAACAGATTTCCAGGTGTGATGCTGGAATCCGGTAACACATCGCCATTTGTCGGGGCTTATCATGGTGCCTGTCCGACTTGACCCTTCGGTGTATAAATCGACCTTTCCGTGCTATATGTATGTGTTCTTTTTCATCCAAGGGTCGATTTCAACATCCAAGGGTGCATGAATATGGCTGGGTTTTGGAATCCGGCTAGTGCTGTAAGATTGTACTTCTCTGCTTGTGTGGATCGTTGTCGCAAATATAATCTTGCCGACTCCAGCAGGCTCTGGCCACCGTCGGGACCATGCGGCTGGTGTGCAGCTGTAAAACAGGGCGATCTGCATTGCAGCTGTTGCTCAATAACCCCCCCCCCCCCATAATATATACCATGCCACATCCCGTTCCCTTAATATTTTTCGTGGCCGGCGGAAGTTTAGCCCAGTCTGGACTCTATCACACCGGTATCAGAGATGAATCCTA